CGCAAAAAATACATCTTGAAAACCAGAATATCGGCAAAATGCACCGAAATCGAACGAATCTTCCACAACGCGGCATACATGTAGCTAGGTCATACACACACGTACAGGTACACACCAGTTTTTACAGCTCTGTGGAGACCAGGCTTCGACATTAACGGTTTTCCGATTGCCCGGGGACAAGTAATTTCTTCTTTCAGGCAAGTAAAAATCAAGGCCTAATTGCCAGATGGACAAGCACTTTTTTCTGAATTTTTTTTCATGGCCAAGACACATATCTGGTACTTGTTAAATACTGGTATGCGCCCACGTGTACCGGTACAACACTTGGCAAAAGGGAACGCCCTTTTGAAGTTATCCATAGCAGTCAATGTGTGAAACAAAAGCTGACCACAATACATGTATATGCAGTCCTTGGATTTGAGTGAGGAATCACTGCCATGCGGGCCCACAATGATGCACCACTCAAACCGAACAACAACCAATAGCTATCTCATTTAAGTACATTCACTGCACGTTGCATCATTCCATGATGACTGCCATAGTCTGCTGTGGGTCATGGGTTATGCACTCAGTGACGGCTGTTGTATCCTTTCTGTAACAACACACTTTATGCTTTGTTGAGATCTCTCACCAATAAATGCAACAATGGCACGCAACAACAGTAGGTGAGAAATTGCACATACGCCATGCTGGCTCACAGCACAATATGGCAGCCACCTCCAAGATTTAGGGGCAACTTTGGTCTAAATTTGCTTCAAAATTTCAAGAAAACAAGAGGGCCAAAGGGACAGAAAATAATTTTTAGGGGCTGGTATGCCTTGTGGACTTTTAAGTTTTTCCAAGCTGGTTTTCAGGGCCCTTAGCAATGGGGACTCTGCACACATTTCTAAAGCAAATGGTATCATGTGACTCACTGTACGGAGATAGTCCATGCTGTGAGCCATGTTATGGGGCTAGGCCCCAGTGAGATGGCCCTGTGCCTGCCCTAATAACCTAACATTCCTAACATTAGTCTTGTTATGCCCCAACCTAGACCCAGACTAGGCCAGTTTACTGGCCTACTTCTGTGTCCTTGGCCCCACAACTAATCCCCCCCCCCAAAAAAAGTGGGCACTTTGTAAAAAAGCCTCTTACAAGCCCCATTTTTCTTCTGTGTACATGTACATCTTGTACACATGTACACCTGATTTGGTCATTAACCCCAACCTCCTACGGTGTATGTAAAATCATATTGAAACCAGAGGATTTGGGACTGTTAGAGATAGCTATTTCATCATTTGGGGCAATTTTTCAACTTTTTCTGTCTGTGAAATTTTGATCTCTACTCTATTTTGTTGTCTCAACACTGCCATTCATTTACTACATTGATTCATTCCAAATTGTTGAACGAGTGATTAAATACAATCGACATCCGTTGGTTGAGGACACAGAGATGAGATTCTCAGAAAATGAAAAAAGCTGGAATTTGTGAGCGCGCAGCACAAAGCCGTTTATGGCATGCGGGCCCCAGGAAAATTGGTAACTTTAGATGCTCTGTGGTGCAATCTGACGCTAAGCCCCTCTGGGACACATTTTAAAATAGAAACATTTGTGAGAGTCCATACTCTGAAAAATTTAGCCTAACCTTTTAATTATTTGTTCCCTTGATATGTATTATAAAGGCCCACTACATAGTTTTGTTCATCACTTGTGGTTTGTAATGTGCTTCAAAATATGTGTACATGTACATGCCGATTACGTACATATACATATATGTACCTGATAGACGATAATTCGTTTTCCTTGTCTTGAGTCCGCTGTTGTATTTCAACGATTCTGCAGGTGTTGTTAAGGCATTTTTGCCCCGGGAAGCGTAATTAAGTTCTACATCGCACCACCGCCTTACCAGGTTTTGCCAATTTCCAAATAAATTCGAAAACAAGAACACTCCTCCTATTTTGGCCTCAACCCACTCCCATCACGAGGGATTTTTAATCCCCCTGTCAATGTGCTTCACCTTTCTTTCTTAATGAATGGCGTCTTTACAGGCAGACATGATGATGGAAATGTAACGATAAGAAACGTAAGTTCAACAACACATGTACGCGACGTTACGGCTCTCTGTAATTACATACAGAAAGTATTCAGGGTACCAGGCGCAGTGGCTTCGAGTGGTGGTCTACACATGTACATTCGTGCATGTGGTGAGTAGCTGAAAAAGTGCACAGTCATTGGCTTACAGGTATATGAGGATACGTCATGAAAATAAGCGATTGTGACACTGACAGTTACCTGGAAACGAACACATTTTATTTTATTGCTTTATCTTATCTTCCAATTCTAGCCTGGTTTCGGATCTGTGTGTACGTTGGTCACGTGTGCCTAAAATATACATGAACGCACGGCATGCATGGCCCGACACAGTGCCCTTTGTGGTCAATATGATATTGATGTGCTTAGGACAAAATAAAAATGACGTGACATATGGAACGCAAGCAGCGAGAAATGCAATTTCATTTTATTTCCAAACAAATTGAGGCTCAGTATTACATCTGATACCTGGAAGTCAAAAATCATCTTGATGAAAAGGGTCGGGAAAGTATAAAGGCAGAACTTATTTGCATAATCGCAGTTTTCAAAGTAGAGAAATCTTGAAAATCATGAAATCCTCATAGAGATGAGGATTTAATGAACAGAAACAGTTGGAAAATCGCCCGAAATGCCGAAATGGTGAATTAATGACAAGATCCGGTGAGTGAAGCCGTGTAAGAAAAATGGGGCTCATAGGAAGCTGTTTCGCAAAGTCCTAACTTCTGACAGTCCTCCTGAGGAGAAGGATGTGTGGACACCATGATCGCCTGAAATTTTGCTTTCTACCGTCAGTTGCATTGTGAATAATGATGTGCGGCCAAAAAGGTTTCATGGAGGTACATGTACAAAGTACATGGTGTGGCTGAATGCGGTATATTTGGCCTATGAAATTTAGGAACAGAAGTATATACTTTGGAGCCAGTGGAAACCAGCATATCCTCCAGGTCTGCTACACCGAGCAACCTTTCACGTTTCAATATATTTACGTATGTACGCAACGCATACACCCCTGTAAACAGCATCATTGATCCAAATTACATTGTTGTACAACTACAACTGCACGACTGCTTCCATACAATGTATTAGTACAGTTGTTTTCCTGCTGGTCTGGATTAACTTTGTTCTAGTCCTGAATCACTTCAATAAAAACCTTCCTTTTTTTTGGATTGGTCATCTATAATATCTTTCAGAAAGTATTATTGGCTTCTTTGTGTACAAATATGTTTTCAAAAATATGTATTTATAACAGAAATGTTTTCTCACTCGCTCTCCGAGTTTTTCGTACAAATTGGCAAAAATTCACACTGCGAATCGTTTTCTCATGGAACATGCACAAGTCAAAGCAAATGAAGCTTAAAGAAATTTAGCCAACAGGCCGCTCTGCATGCCAGGGCGGGCAATCTCACTTATCCTGATCACTCTGAGCTGTGCTGTTTTCTTGGGAGCCGGTGCTACAGCTAGTCCAATACACTCAAAAAGATCAGCACAACAGGAAAGTGAAACCGTATGTACAACGGCCCAATACCCATCATCACGTGTTGCATGAGTTCAATGTCATTCTCACAACGATCCACAGTATCAGTTGGCGCTGTCCAAACTTCACAGAAGGTTGACAAATCTAGGGCCTGGTGTCCAACATGTATAATAAATGTCTCTACACAGATACCACCGGTGATATTCGTTTGTTACCGGTGTTTGTCTGTCCGTCATGATGTGAGTCATATTTGTGCATCATTGTCTGGAGTTGGTGCGTCAAAAATTGACAAGTTCGTGCATCAACATGTGGGAGATGTGAGCTCTTAATCAGTGGTGTGTCTGCATGTATGACGAAAACACTTACGAACTGGATACTCTTAATCTCTAATCTGTTTCTTTGACCAGTCAGAGATCAGCTTTCTAATGAAACTTTCCACCGGCCAAACTAAACACACTCTACCAAGCATGTTTGACATTGACAATATTGCCATGTGGGTGCATGGAGTGCATGGTCTGGCTGTTATATTCAACACTATTAATCTCTAATCGGCTCATCTTGACCAATCTGAGAGCAGTTTTCGAATGAAACTTTAGCCCTTTTCACACGATGACAAAAACACTCGCAAGGCTTGAGACACAATTGAGCAGGGATTGTTTACTTTACAAACTGCGATCATGTCCTTTCACACGGCACCGTGGAACATTTCGCAAGCATTCCTTGAGACGCGAATGCTTATTCCGCGGGTTGCCAGTGAACTCCATACTTACTGAGTGCAAATACCGCTAGTACCAGTGCAATGTGAGGTCAAAGGTTGGAGACCATCAATGAAAAATGGCTCATGCTACATCAGCAGAGTCAAACTTGCAGACAAAAAAACGTTCTCCCAAAACCGATGTTTCAGGGAGTACCAAGAAGCAGAAAAGTTCCAAGAAGGGCTGGGAGTATGATGAGACTCTCAGCCTTATAACTGCCATGGAAACGCCGCAATAAAGGCAAAAATGGACAGCATGGTCCACAATAGCAACGTGTGGCGTGAAGTCGCAGGAGGTATTCCCGATCGCACCGGCGAGCAGTGCCATGATCGCAGGACATACCTGAAACGATGTTACAGAGAAAGGTATCGAAGTTAAAGGGCGCGCGCGCGCTGTGTGGGGTTGCAGATCACTACGCATGCGCGCTGTGTACATGTAAGTTATCGCAGGGGACGTTTTGTCATCGTGTGAAAAGGGCTTTTTCAGTTATCAATCAGAGACACTCGACCAAGCACGTTCACATTATGGCCATGTTTATCTTCAGTGGATGTAAGTGTGGGGTCTGTGTCCATTTCCACGTTTTCTTGTATGCATTCTGTGCGCTACCAATATTAAAACCGAACATCCAAACCGACCAGTTTGGTTCCGTTTGAAAGTGCAATGTTCGACAATTTTTGGTTCGGTTTGGCAGTTTGGCTGCAGCACTATTCTATCGTACGGAGTACGAGTTGTCCTGGTACCCAACGGCCATTGCTTGTCTTCCTTCAATTTGGGCATAAATAATGGGAGCCCTGTGACCCCAGCGCGCCGCAGCCAACTGCCACTTCAACCAGTGCGGCTAAGAATTGCATACACATGTACGGAAAGTGGCTGTAGCCAATTTCCATGTCTTGTGTATCGATTGCAGCAGAAGTCAACGATTCGGTTGCGGCTCGTCTCCGCAAGTACACATGATCAGGAAATATTTGCACCTTTTGGGGGAAAATGGCATGGTTTTGGCCCTTTTTCTTTTGGTACTCAAAACAAAGGTATGTACATGTACATGTAAGCTATCTTAAATAAAAGTCTTGGGGGAAATGAAGAAACTTGTCTATGGGTACACAACTTGAATGGAATCGCTGTTCATGCCCTGTTAAACATTATGCATAGCCCATGGCGAAAAAGGCTCTTTTTCTGTGGAGTTCATGGGAGAGGAGCAGTTGTCGGACCCCACAGTTCTGGCGGTAGGGTACGAGTTGACGGTTGTAGGTCAACTAGACCGTTTGCCAACTCGACTCGAGTCAACTCAACTCCTGACCAACTTGACTGTCGACCAATTCGACCGTTGAACCAACTCCCTCGTTGACCAACTCGACTTCAAAGTCGAGTCAACTCGACCATTTACCAACTCGACCATTTGCCAACTCGACCGCATGATTGATACATGGGTTTAGTAGACAAACCCTTTCCTTAAAAAATAGATATTAAAAGGGGAAAATTAAAGATCGGATCAGTTCCGGATCGCAAAAATTATGGATGCTAATTTAGGCCCAATGAACCCACAAAATCAACTGAAATGCAATCAATAATTGAACTTGTGCTAATGAGATACTCCAAAATAATTTTCCCAATTTGAGAAAAATCATACACACACGAACCCCCGAAATCTGTCACCACACTTTGTGCATGCACAGATCACATCCCGCACACATGATCCAGAACTAGGAAAAATGCATTCCTTCTATGCCCTATCCCTGTTGCACCGTTTGTTGGTCAAGGGTTGGTCGAGAGTCGACTTGGTCGAGAGTTTAGTTGACCTTTATGGTTGAAGGAACAACGGTCGAGTTGGTCGAGAGTCCCGTTGACTTGAGTCAAGTTGGCAAACGGTCGAGTTGACCTGACACCCGAGTTGACTTGGCATGCTTGGGTGGGAGTTTGGGGGTACGAGTTGACCTGGGTACGAGTTGACCTGGGTACGAGTTGTCCTGGGTAAGAGTTACATGTATGTAGCTTGCTGTGCAAACGCCTGATGTAGCTATCCCTTACAGTTGACCTGATTCCGAATACAGTTAGGACAGACGCTTTGGTCATGTTAGTTGAGGCGTAACACCAACAGCCCTGTTTAAGTGCGAGTTGTTGGTGCATCCACCACGTCTGCGGCCACGAATGCCATGGAAATGCACGCACGCATGCTGCGCCTGGTCCGGTCTCGCAACCGCGGTGAAGACCAAGTAAAGTATCTCGATAAGTTAAGTAGGCCTATGTCCGAAAATAGTCCTTGTGCCATACCTTGACCTTGTGATGGTTAATGGGTGAATTCTTCTTCTTCTGCAGCTGTGTTCAAAACGAGTCCAAAGAACAGATTTTCTGGACAAAAGACCTCCACACCGTGCTTCGCCAACGCACGACACACAGCACCGAAGGGCGACATGTTGATTTACAGAGTTGCAAGGCGCATGCGTAGTAGCGCTGCCATGCTTTCTGTGGCCGCAGTGCACGGTGCCGGTGGCCGTGGCGGCGCGATCGCCGCACGCTGTACCCAGCTTGAACCGCTCTTCTATATTGAGAACTTTTTTCACCTTCTCTTACGTTTCTGTTATTTTTTTTTGTGGGAAATCCAACGACTCTTGGGAGCGATTTTTCTCCAAGTATCATAACTCCAAAAGGAAGTCCTGAAGTCCAACACTATTCTTGAAAAATGACACCTCTGTCCCATTGTAAAAAAGAGCATTTATAAGGCATACATTTCAAAATACAAGCTCAAAGTCCCTGTTCAAAACTTCTGACACCCTTTAAAATCTTTCAAGTTCAAAAGCCATAAAACCCTCAAATACATGTAGCATACAATTTGAGGGTTGAACACGATGATTTGGTAGGTGTGAGCTATTTATTCGGGCATATTACTGGTCAACATACTTTCCTTTGGGTTTGGAGTGTGAGCATGGAAGAATTTAGTTTTTGTGAAAACTCCAAGCTGCACCATCTGTTCAAATGTGCCTGTCACACAGAGTCTTGCTGATATATGACAAGATTAAAAACTCATATTCCTCTTCCCCGAAAAGAAGGAAACAAAAATCCATGTATGGCAAATTGATGTCACGAACACCTAGTTATTTATCGTTTCCCACAAAACAATATGGCATTCTTGCACTAGTCAAAACATTCCAATATTTTATATGTAGTGCAGATGTCGTAAAGGAAAATTTCACATATCTATGCATTAGAAGACAAGACCATGAACTGGTTTTGCACCATATTTAGTTTTGTTTGGGTCCCTCCTCCGTAAGGATATTTATATCCACACATGAATGCATGAATACTTTGTGGTTGTCCATCTCACGTTTGCTTTTTCAAAACAACTGTGCATTGGTGCTGTCTGCTGCACAATCTAAATAGCTGTTTGGGACTGCATTGTGAGCAAAGAAAAAAAAAAGAATGCAAGTACAAGTGACAGAGACACAGGTGGGGATTTGACCACATCCACAGAACGTTTCCCACTTTTTGAAGAACTCTTTGCAAAATGAAGAAGAAGATTGCAGCAAATTAGCCAAAAAATTTAGGTTTGAAAGAGTGCAAGATTTCTGGGTACAAAAACCAAAGGACAAGTCAAAGCCAGGTAAGTATGTGTGCCCAGGCTGTAATCAGATCAACGGGACGATCGAGTTGCAGGGGCAAAACGTGGACCCCATAATGTTTTTGGTCCCCACAACATGTCTGTAGTCCTCACAACTACAGATGTGCAGTCCCATTGTGTACATGTAAATGCTGATGTGAACAATTTTGGTGTACATCTATCAACAACTCATAGCACAGACAGGAATTTCCAAATCTTGCATTTTGCGACACTGAGAATGAGGCAAATGATGAAAATGTATACCAGGCAAGATGTGGGACGGAGGGGTACCCCCCTTACCTGTCCAATCCCTATACACACTCTAGACTATTGTTAC